CCTTTACACATCTATTCCCCACCAGGAGGGCCTTAGGGCTCTCCATTTCTTCCTGGAGCAAAGACCTGAACCATCCCCACCCATCACCACACTCCTCCGCTTGGCCAAGCTTGTCCTCACCCTCAACAACTTCTCTTTCAACTCCTCTCATTTTCTTCAGGTAAGAGGGGTTGCCATGGGTACCCGCATGGGCCCTAGTTATGCCTGTCTCTTCGTGGGGTACGTGGAACATTCCTTGTTTCAGTCCTATTCTGGCCCCCACCCACAACTCTTTCTCCAATACATTGATGTTATCATCGGTGCTGCTTCCCTCACTCGTCGAGAATTGGAAAACTTCATCAATTTCGCCTCCAATTTCCACCCTGCCCTCACTTTCACCTGGTCTATCTCTGACACCTCCCTTCCCTTCCTCGACATTTCTATTTCCATTTCTGGGGATAGACTGGCCACTAACATCCATTACAAACCCACCGACTCCCACAGCTACCTGGACTATACATCCTCACACCCCACTTCTTGTAAAGAGTCCATCCCATTCTCTCAGTTTCTCCGTCTCCGTCGCATATGTTCAGATGAGGCCAACTTCAACAAGGGAGCCTCCGAAATGTCCACATTCTTCCTCAACCGAGGATTTCCCAGCTCCATTGTTGACAGGGCCCTCAATCGGGTCCGACCCATCTCCTGCACTTCTGCCCTCACCCCTTCTCTTCCTTCCCGCAACAGCGATAGGGTTCCCTTTATCCTCACCTACCATCCCACCAGCATCCACATCCAGAAGATCATCAGACGCCATTTCCGCCACCTCCAGCAAGATGCCACCACCAGACACACATTCCCCTCCCCTCCCTTGTCCGCCTTCCGCAGGGACCGTTCCCTCCGGGACACCCTGGTCCATACTTCCTTCACCCCCAACACCTTCCCACTGCCCTACGGCACCTTCCCCTGTAACTGGCGAAGGTGCAACACCTGCGCATTTACCTCCTCCCTCCCCACTATCCAAGGGCCCAAACATACCTTCCAGGTGAAGCAACACTTCACCTGCACTTCCAAGAATCTAGTCTATCGCATTCGCTGCTCACAATGTGGTCTCCTCTACATTGGGGAAACGAAGCGTAGACTTGGCGACCGCTTCACAGAACATCTATGTTCTGCTCGCAAAAAAGACCCTGAACTACCTGTTGCCTGCCACTTCAATGCACCACCTTGCTCCCTGGCCAACATCTCTATCTCTGGCTTGCTACAGTGTTCCAGTGAAGCCCAGCGCAAGCTGGAGAAACAACACCTCATTTTCCACTTGGGGACCCTACAGCCCTTTGGACTCAATACTGAGTTCAATAATTTTAGGGCCTAAACTCTCCTATGTCCCAGCCCCCTACCCCACACACCAGGCCTTATTACCACACAGCCTGTCATTACATACCCGCTGTGTTAGTCACTAACAGTCCCCATTAACAACTATTCACCCTCCCAGCCTGATCGTTAGCAACTCCTTTGTCCAACTGTCTTTCTATCTCTTTGGGCTCTATCCTATCGTTTACTCCCTACCCCACCCACCTCCCTATTTTCTGCATATAAACTGACGTTTTCCCAGCCATCATCAGTTCTGAGGAAGGGTCACCGGACCCGAAACGTTAACTCTGTTTTCTCCTCCACAGATGCTGTTAGACCTGCTGAGCTTTTCCAGCAACTTTATTTTTGTTCTTTTGGTTTTTACTAAACATCACCAATCTATCTACATAACTGAAATTATGTAACTCCTGTAACTACAGACTGTAACTGCTTTATTCAAAAAGAGATACAGAAAGCAGGGAATACAGGCCAGTTAGCACAAAGTGTCTCACAGGGAAGACTGTAGTATCTATTACTGAAGATGAGACAAGAAGGAAGTGAGAGAAGTTCAAGCCAGCTAGGGAGAGTCATCAAGATTCTGAGAAAGGGAAATGCTGCTTAACCAACCTATCCCTTTGAAGAATTCGCATTTGGCACAAAATAACTTCAACAACATGTCTCTTTTTTTCTAACAGATTAACTGTTGATGATCACCCCGCTGTTGGGGGGAGCTTGCTGCATGTAAATTGGCTGCCGGGTGTCTAACATCATAGTGTAAGACTAGGGAACAAGTGATCACTCTTCACAAGTCACTTAGTGCGTTGGGTCATCCTGAGGTGGTAACAGGCACAAAATAAATGCAACCTCTTTCTTTGCTAATCAAAAAAGAAACACAACAGCTTCCATGAAACTGAATGGCTAGTACGCACTGAATTGCCATAGACCTTACAGTAAAGTCTGCCCCAGTGTGATGGTCAGTGAGCAGAACCAGGAAACCTGGTTACACACCCACATTTCTTTCAAAGAGCCAGCTTGTTTTGAGGAACTTCCATCAGTAGAACCTGGAGAAATTAGAACAAAGGAGCAAGTGACAGTGCTAACACTGTCATTAGGGGAGCAAAGTCCGAGGAGAATTGGAGTGTTTGCTGATGCGTATTTTGAAAGTCGGGAATGTCCTATTTGTTTGGGGTGCAGTAGAAGGTAATTGCAACTAATTATTTTCAAAGATTGTTTTTGAAAAGGTAGCATGCCTTTTGGATTATGACACTGACAAGTACCAAATTGCTGTCTTTAATCTCTTGAACATAATTATTTGAGAATGAATCCAACAGGATTTGAGTTCTACATATGATGAATGTAGATGCAAAAGTCATATGTTTCAATTTACTCATCCCTGTGTTAACACATTTCCCTTTTGCCCAATCTCTGAATTGCTCATCAGATCTGTGTGCAGTGTCACCAAAACCTCCAGGATTGTCCTGGAGAGGTTAAAGATGAATCTTCAGGACAATTTTGTAGTAACCGGCGAGAAAAATCAATGATGTCTTGAAGACTAACATATATTTCTAAAAATTATTTAAACAGCTTTGTTGGCTGGTTATGAAAAAAATATTGAAAGTGACACAATAAGAATCTTTGACTGGCAACCAATAATCACCCAACCAGATAACAGAATCTTGATCAGAAGAAGAGTCATACCAGACTTAATGTGCTCACCCTGTATCTTTTGAGTTTCTCCAGCAATTGCTGTAACAAGGAATCTACTATTTTTTATTGCTATTCATTCACGGGATGAGGGCATCACTGGCTAGACAGCATTCATTGCCCAGAGGGCAGTTAAGAGTCAACCACATTGCTGTGGGTCAAGAGTCACATGTAGGCCAGACCAGGTAAGGATGGCAGTTTCCTTCCCTGAAAGACATTAGTGAACCAGATGGGTTTTTCCAGCAATCAACAATGGATTCACGGTCATCGTTAGATTCCTAATTCCAGATATTTATTGAATTCAAATTCCACCATCTGCTGTGGCAGGATTTGAACCTGGGTCCTCAGAACATTATCTGGGTCTCTGGATTAACAGTCCAGCAATAATACCACTAGGCCATCACCTCCCCCTTGCCTTGCCACTAGCTGTGAGGAGGTGGGACACCATAATAACAAAGTATGTGTGTGTATGTGTGTGCGCATTGGGAGAGAAAGGGCGCATGGTGTGGAAGTGAGTCGTGTGTTTCTTGTTGAGGTTTGACCCAAGCAGCTCCATTTCACAGGGCTCTACGCTGTACAGTCTGTTCCCTAGGACGTAAACTGAGACAAACATCAACTGTACCTAGAGGGCCATCAAAGATGCTCTTTGGTTTGCCTGAAATTTGTTGATCTTCCAGAGCAAGGAGTTGACCTCGGCCGAGTATTGTAGACAGGCGCATTCCAAAATCCAGAACTACGTGCTGAGGGACGTGCTAAAGCTTAGAGCAACTGCCGACATGGCACAATGGGGAAAGACCACTGTCTGAGGTCTTTCTGTCAAAGTACAATGGGGTCCATTCAGTTATCAGACCATCCCGGTGCCTCAAATGTATGTAAGTATAGTATTGTACAAGTCAGAAATGCCCTGGGTTTGTTTGTTGCATAGAGTCAAACTCCAATGTTTGTTTGTTATTTCATATATTACTGTCCAGAACTGAACTGCTTTGCTGACTATGTATTTATATAAAAATATTTTTATAATAATGGATATTTTCCAAATAAAAAAACTGTGAGGAACCCTCCTTGCCCACTGAAGTTGGTAACGCTGGATCTGTGTCACTCTCAGTGTTATGGTGCACTGAATTTCACAGCATCTCCTAGCGTCTGTGAGCTACCACATGTTCTCTTTTCACTTCCACATGTTCTGAGGAAGGGTCACAGGACCTGAAACGTTAACTCTGTTTTTTTCCCTTCACAGATGCTGCCAGACCTGCTGAGCTTTTCCAGCAACTTCTGCTTTCGTTCCTGACTTACAGCGTCCACAGCTCTTTTGGTTTTTATACAGTGAAGAAAGAGACCATTTGGTCCATCATGTCAATGCCAACTCTCTCCAAGGGCAACTCAACAAGTCCCATTCTGCTTGTCTCTCCCCAGAGACCTGCAAATATTTTTCTTTTCAGCGAGTTGCCCAATCGCTTCTTGCAAGTCACAATTGAAGCTGCCCCCACCACGCTCTCAGACAATGCATTCAAGATACTAAGCACTCAGTGCCTAAAAGAGGAATGCCTCATGACACCATTGCTTTGTTTTGCCAATCACCTTAAACCAGTGTCCTCTGGTTCTCAACTGTTCTGTCAAGCCGAGCATTTCTCCTTATCTGCTCTGTCAAGACTCCAACGATTTTGAAGGTGTTCACTTCGTTTGAACATGGTCGCAGGTAACAAAGAAATGTAGAACATAGGGGCAGGAGTAGGCCACTCAGCCCTTTGAGCCTGCTGCACCATTCAATACGATCATGGCTGATCATCCTACTCAGTCCCCTGTCCCTGCTTACTCCCCATTTGCTTTGATCACTTTAGCCCTAAGATCTAACTCTAAAATAATTTCAAACCTTCGCCTTCAAATCATGTTAAAAGCCAGGGCTGAGCAAGTTATTTTGTTGCTAGAAGCAGGGATGTGCTAGTACTTACGTGTTGCAGTATCTGAACATCCCCCGGATGTCGACCTCTCGAATGGCTGCATTCAGAAGGGGTACATTCACCAAAGTTTCACCATGACCAACTAGGAGGAGAGTCCCACCAGATCGAGTGGACTAAGGGAAATATCACACACATGAGCTAAGAGGGAGGGAAAATTACTTTTCACAAAGACATGGAATGACAGATCAATGAAGCACCTCAAAAAAATGAACAAGTACAACCCAAATGCCCCAGAAAACATACCAGTCACATTTTTAATGCTTTACCAATGTTTGGTGGTAACACATCTCCTATATCTATGGGGAGGTGACAGCCTAATGGTACTATTGCTGGACTGTTAATTCAGAGACCCAGGTATTGTTCTGGGGACCTGGTTCGAATCCCACTATGGCAGATAGTGGAATTTGAATTCAATAAAAATCTGGAATAATGATTCTAAGATTCAAACCATTGTCAATTATTGGAAAACCCATCTGGGTCACTAATGGGGAAGGAAACTGACACCCTTACCTGGTCTGGTCTACATGTGAGCCTAGACACATAGCAATGTGGTTGGCTCTTAACTGCCCTCTGGGCAATTAGGGATGGGCAATAAATGCTGTCCCCAGCCTCTGATACCGTCATTGCATGAATGAATGAATTTTAAAAATTTCACAGCTGGTAATCGAGCACCCTATGACATCAGGGAATTAAGGGGCAAAAATTCAAGGTGGTCATGATTAAATCTGATTGGGGGATTAACAGATATTTATTTATGCAGAGAGTAGTTAGAATTTGGAACTTACTACTACATGCAGGAGTAGGTGCAAACAGCCAAAGTGCTTTCCAAAGAAAACTAGATGAGAATTTGAAAAAAATGGGATTAGAGTGTTAACACAAAAAGCTGAAAATAAGGCAGGTGCAAAGAGAGGATATTTGTGACCAGCACAGTCTAACAGGTCAAATGACCTGTTTCTCTCTCATACCTTATATTCTATGTAATAAATTGGTTGAATTAGATAGGAAATGCGTCACTGTAGAAGAGTGAAAAAGAGTCATATCAGATTCGAAACGTTAACTCTGTTTCTCTCTCCACAGATGCTGCCAGACCTGCTGAGATTTTCCAGCACTGTCTATTTCATTTCACTTGTTTTTTTTCTGTGTTTGGCTTCTTCTTCAAATGGTCAGCCTGGTTCTCGGGCTGTGTTAGGGTCCAGATATGGCCAGGGTTGTTCAGAATGCATTAAGCCTGTTTGCCTTCATTGCTCAGACCTTTGAATATAGGAATTGGGAAGTCATGTTGAGGCTGTACGGGATATTGGTGAGGCCTCTTCTGGAATACTGTGTCCAGTTCTGGTCACCCTGTTATAGGAAGAATACTATTGAGCTGGAGAGGGTTCATAAGAGATTTACCAGGATGTTGCCAGGTATGGAAGGTTTGAGTTATAAAGAAATGCTGGTTAGGCTAGGACTTTTTACACTGGAGAGTAGGAGGTTGAGAAGTGACCTTATAGATGTTTATAAAATCATGAGAGGTAAAGATAGGGTTAAAGGTAGCTGTCGTTTACCTAGGGTTGGCAATTTCAAGAATAGAGGGCGCACTTTTGAGGTGGGAGGAGAGAGATTTTAAAAAGACATGAGGGGCAATTTTTTTGCACAGAGATTGGTTCACATGAGTACATGAATAGGAAATGTTTGGAGGGATATGGGCCAGGAGCAGGAAGGTGGGATTAGTTTAATTTGGGTTTACGGTCAACATGGAATGCTCGGACTGAAGGGTCTGTTTCCGTGCTGAATGACTCTATGACAATGATGATACTATAAGGATGTTGATTTACTCTAATGCAGTACTTACATAGACACCAGCATGGACACAGAACTCGGCACCAGTGCATTCGATTGTTGTATCTGGCATGCAGCCAAGAGCTTCCTCCACTTTCTGGGCTAGATCCTTGGGTGTCTCCTTCGCCACCAATATGGTAAAATCAGCACCCACTTCCTTTGCCTTCTCCAGACGTGCACTTGATAAATCTAAGAAAACAAACTCATCTCTAATTCACCAGCACAAGAAGAGCTTGAGATGCCCCTGGTTCAATAGTGAATGAAACTGGCTATGCTTCGTCACTGATGTCTATCAAAATTGGCAAAGGTTACTGTCTAAGGAAGATGGAACCAGGCTCACCCATTGGTTTCTCCACTTGCGATGGCATTTGCTGCTCTACACTTTCACTGACTCTCCCCATTCTCACTGACTCTTTCTGCTTTTATTGACTCCTCTATCTCAGCTGAAACAAAATGCGAAAAAACAGTGTGATCTTTGTATCTTGAAGCAACTTGAGACTTACTTTTCAGCAGCTGGGGAAAGGAAACAAATTACACAAAACGGAAACCCAACTGAAGGTCAAAGGAAAGAGCTCTAAAGTAAAGGTGAGGCCTACAAGCTAAGCAAAATGCAAACGTGGTGAAATAAACTTATTAAAGGAATAGGAAGGAAGTTTATTTCTTTCTATTTTGGGGATGCGACTGTCACTGGCTATTGGCCAGAATTTATGCCCTTGCGAAGGTGGTAGTGAGTTGCGTTCTTGATGCATTGTAGGTGCATTCTGGATGGGAACTACAGATTTTGGCCTAGTGACAATAAGGGAATGTCCAATATATATCCAAAATGGAACTGTGTGTGACTTGGAGGGGAACTTGGCGGTGTTTCCATGCACTGTTACCCTTGACCTTCTAGATGAAGGTACATATAGAATCTGATGAAAGCTTTGTCTAACCAAGGGCAATATGGGGATAATGGCCCTTTTAATCAGTTTCATTGTATTAGTAAAAACCCTGGGACAACAATTGCTTTGTATAACCAGTATGGACATATACAGATTACAATAAACAATACAGTCTGTCAGTCTGACACAGGAAATTACAGTCCTGCCATCTTGACATCTATAGTGGGAAAAATGATAGAGGCCATAAGTTGAAAATATACACTGAAAGCATCTCAAGTTAACATTAGACAGTCGACATGGCTTTCTCAAGGGCAGGGCATGACTGGCAAATTTATTTGAGTTCTTTGACGAGGTAGCAAAGGCAATGGGTGAGGGACGTGCTGTGGATATTGTATATTTGGACTTTCAGAAAGCATTTGATGCAGTGCCAGATGGCAGTTTGGTTAGCAAATTAGAAACGTTTGGGATTGGCAGCATGGATTGGAAGTTGGCTAAAGAATTGGAAACAGAGGATAGAGATAGATGGGCTTTCTCAGATTGGAAATAAGTTGAAAGTGATGTTCTCCAGGGATCAGTGTTGGAACCCTTGCTTTTTCTGATTTATTTAAAGGATTTGGAAATGGGTGTTGAGGGCAAAATCTCTAAAGTTGCAGATGATATGTCAGTAGCTAGGGGTCACAATTTCAAAATTGTCAGCAAGAAATCTAGGAGTGAGATGAGGAGAAACTTCTTTACTCAGAGAATTGTTAGGACTTGGATGCACTGCATAGGAGAGTGGTGGAGGCAGATTCTGTAGGAGGTTTCAAAATAAAACTTGATATATATTTGAAAGTGATGAATTTAGAGGGCTATGGAGATATGGCTGAAGAATGGGACTAGCTGGGTAGCTCTTTCAGGAGCTGGTACAGACATGATGGGTCAAGTGACCTCGTTCTGTACTGTAAAGTTCTATGATTCCATTGTTTTGCATTGCAGTAGGAAATCTGTCACTGCGGTGCTTTCGGCATTGTAACAAACACTTTGGTCTAACTCCTGTTTAGTATTTTATTCTCCTTATCCCCAGCCTTGAGAGGCTGGGACACCATTGAGTATTATGCTTCATGCAAAAGATATCTTGCTGTGGCTGTGATGCCCTGGACCACAATTTTTCATCTAAGGGCAGAGGACAGAACGAGGTCGACTAGAAAAATCTATTCAGGTTTGTTCAACAGACATAAAAGAAAGGAAATATGTGCTGACAGAAAGAGAGAGAGGGTCTCTGGACTAATACAACAACAGAAATTGCTGGAGAAACTCAGCAAGTCTAGTAGCAGCTTCAGATTCTGAAGAACAGTCACCGGACTTGAAACATTGACTGTTTTCTCTCCACTAATGTTGCTAGACCTGCAGACTTTCTCCAACAATTTCTGTTGTTGTTTCAGATCTTCAGCAACCACAGTTATTTTAATTTAGTCTCTGTATTAATAGTCTAAAGATAATACCATTAGGCGAATTGTCTCCCCTCAATCTTGTCAGAGACATTGAAGTATGTCTAGTTAATATCTGTGCAGGGCAAAGTCCTCACTTTAAGAGTCAAAACTCCAAGACCTGGAATTTCGTCCACGCATGCGGCCGAGAAGTTAGATCTGAAATTTCACTCTTTCTGCCAATGTCAAGTTACACTCAGATTGCCTGTGGATCTCAATAGTATCCGTCCGACTGCAAAATGGGAGCAAATGAGAGTAAAATGATCTCGATCCAAAGGAAGCACTGAACTCACATCAACAAGAAAATTACTTGTAACAAATTCAACCACCATTCACGCACACCAGGGATAGCGTGGATCAGGACAATCAGGAAAGTTTTCCAAGTTTTAATATATCGTATTCATTTTTGTATCAATCCACTCTTGGGATGAGGGCATCACTGGCTGGGCCAGCATTTATTGCCCATCCCTAGTTGCCCCTGAGAAGGTGGCAGTGAGCTGCCTTCTTGAACTGCTACAGTCCAAGTGTTGTAGAAACATCCACAATGCCCTTAGGGAGGGAATTCAATGATTTTGCCCCAGAGACACTGAAGAAACATGGTATATTTCAAAGTCAGGATGGTGAATGGCTCGGAGGGGAATGTGCAGATGGCGATGTTCCCCTGTATCTGCCACCCTTGCCTTTCTAAATGGTCACGAGTTTGGAAGATGCCATCTTTGGTGAATTTCTACAGTGCATCTTGTAGATAGTACTCTGAGTCGGAGGTGGACGGAGTGAATGTTTAAGAATATGATGCCTGTTAAGCATGTTGCTTTATCCTGAATGGTGTTAAGCTTCTTGAGTATTGTTGGAGCTGTACCCTTTCAGGTAAGTGGGGAGTATTCCATCACACTCCTGACTTATATTGTGGGAATGCATTAGAAAGAACAGAACATACACTGTAGGGCTAAGGGTAGTTTCTGTAAGTATAAATATTTACACAATTGTAATAAATCATCAGAAAATGATCTTGTTTCCAGCTGTTGCGACATGAAGTGGGCTTCTGGTATGTTAAACTTCTGACTGCCAATTGGTGAAGCAGGCCAGAGTTAGTCTTTATTCAGGTTTGGATATAATACAGAGAGGAACCCTACAAGAGCATAAATTCTTAACTTCACAACCCACCACCCGTGTCAGTAATTGTCTCTTTAAATTCTTTAGAATGCCAATAAATCGAATTAATTAATTAACCAAAGCATCAGCCTTTAAAGGGGCACTGCAACAAAAGAACAAATTTTAAAGGAATCTAAACAAATTTACACATTTCAGTGGCTGACAACGTGCTCTAGCATCTGCAGTGCCCACTGACCATGGAAGACCTTGAGCATACTGGTGGAAATCAAGTGTTTCCTATCCAGGAATACCTGGGCTCAGACCCACCCATGGAAGAGAGCTAGGCAATTGGATCTAACAACCTGCCCCAGAAATTCTGTTTGTAGCCACTTTGGTCAGGCCCTACAAATGAGGCCATTCAATTGTCTTGCCTCCAAACCCCTCAACCCAATGAGCAAAAGTGCAGCCAAACCAATAAGAAGCAGTTCCTTCAAAAGTAGTTGGTGCAACCCAGTTTGCCTAGTATTTATATGGAATATGACTAATACGCTTTATAATTATTTGAATCGATCTGTTTTAGACATGTTATTACACAGCAGGTAGGACTTTAACTCAGAAGTAATGACACCACCACTGTGCCCTTTGTTTTATAGATATTTTCTAATCAACCTGCTCAGAGATGTTATGGCACAGGTAGGACTTGAACCCTGCCTCATGGCTCAGATGGACGGACACTATCCCTGCACCTCAAGAGCCCAGCTCTTTATAATTTTAATCAACTTAGTCAGATGTGCTATGACACATCTCTGGTGCAGGTGGGATATTAATCCAACCCTTCTGGCTCGAAGATAAAGTACCCAGGTTTTCAAAAAATATTTCCCCCATATCGACATGCTCAGAGATGTTATTACACACCTCTGGAGCAAGTGGGACTTGAACCCAGGCCTCCTGGCTCAGTGGTAGGGACACTACCATTGTGCTACAAAACCTTTTGAACTCTTTTTATATCCCATCGAGCAACTGCAAAAAAATTAACAAATTACACTAAATGACATTTAGCAACATCTTAAAGGGGCATTCAAATAGAGAACAATTTTTAAAGGCAATTTAAAATTAAAATAAAATTTTGGCAGGGATGGTGTTCTTTATCTGTGTTCAAGCAGTCTTCTAATACCGTCCACCTGCATTATCCTTCACCTTAAGTTAAACAAAGAATATGAGGGAAGCAAGTTTCGGGAAACTCACACAGAAGCTTTGTGACTTGTGGGCAAGGTCAGTATTGTTGGAGGTAGGGGGCAAGAGATGTATGCAGTCAGAGCACTGATTATTACTGTAATGGATCATGGAGATTTGAAGGTATTACATTATAGGTGTACTTCACTCACAGCCATAACTGTGATCTTCTACCCCCTGTGATTAATTTGTGTCTAAGTTACTTGCGTTGCTCAGGGCAGGCATTCAGAAAGTTCAAGGCTACAATGTAAGAAAAAAGTGGGCAATTGTTGCAGTGAGGAGCGATTATTATGCCACAGTATGAGTTCATCATTTTTTGAGTCAACATCCGGAAATGGCTATGCGTTGACTGACAGACCCCTTCATGCAGATTTTATTTGTCTAACAGAGATATTTGCTGGGCAGAAAGGTGTTCTTTTTTGTTCCATTTTCTGCCTGGAAGCGAGTCTAACGCGCAGCATCATGACCTCCACCACAGGTCGGGGTGAGGAGGCAGATCCTGAATCCACTCTCAGCTGGGATGGAAGCTGGATCCCACGCAGTTGTGACCAATCAGATCCACACTGACCGAGTAGGCAATTGTACCAACCACACATCCACCAGCTCCCTCAGGAGGCTGAGCTGCTGTAGTGGCAGACACTTTTAACAAGTATGCTGTAGGCTGGAGCTATGGTGGGTAAAAGTGCCAACATTTTTCCATTACTCTGTTGGCCAGGAGAGTCTCCTGCTCTTACTGTCTGCGGTGTGTGCTGGGCCATTTACAGATTAGCATTCAACCCGTCTGGCTGCGTGATGAACATACCTTCCAAGGTATGCTTTGGATAGAAATAATGTGAAAGGGTATGATGGAAAGCAAGGAGATTGGCATGAGAGAATGATGCTTATTTGAAGAACCAGTGCAGACACGATGGACCAAATGATCCTCTTTCTGCACCATACCATCTCTGTGATTCATTGCCCATCAGGTCCTAGAGTGGGATTTGAACTCTGCTTCTGTTTCAGAGATAGGGACACTATCCATTGTGTCACAAGGTCTCCTCTATAAACAGGTTGACACTCATTTTTTCTTTTAATTCATTCATGGAATGTGAACATCTCTGGCTGGACCAACATTTATTGCCCATCCCTAATTGCCCAGAGGGCAGTTAAGAGTCAACCACATTGCTGTAGGTCTGGAGTCACACACAGGCCAGACCAGGTAAGGATGGCAGTTTCCTTCCCTAACAAATGTGCTTTTACGTCAATCAACAAAGGTTTCATGTTCATCAATAGACTCTCAATTCCAGGTTTTGTTGAATTCAAATTCTACCATCGATTGTGGCAGGAATTGAACTCGGACCCCTAGGTTAATAATCTACCAACAATACCACTAGGCCATTGCCTCCCAAATGGAAGAATGGTTAAGGATAGAAGACTATAATAACAGTTAAATTACAAGTTGAAAACTAAACCTGCTCATTCCGACACAGCAAAACTATAATGGAATACAGTCATTCACAATCCTGGAAAAACAGCGTTCGAGGGTTTAAATTACGAAAACAAGTAGAATTCAGGTTCATGAAAAAATCAGAAAAGTCAACAAGTGAGGAGAGCGGGAGCTTGTTTTCACCTGCTACCCACCAACTCTCTTGGACTGTAAATAAGCCTGATCTTTCCCTCAATCTTAAATGAGGGCTTGGTCATCATGTTCATCAAGGGGCTACAGGTTAATTATCAGGGGAAATGCCACAAAGCTGCAGTTCAAGGTTCAGACTGAAGAAAGCAGAGGGATGCAGGAACCTTCCCCTGCAAAAATCGAGCAAGACGTGAAATATTAAACTGAGTCTTACCACAGACCACAACTTGAGCCGCCCCCATCGCCTTGGCAACCAGCAGATTCAGAAGTCCGATGGGTCCTGAATGATTAAACAAGGATGTAGGTCAGTCTTGGTGTGGTTATTTTATTTTGACACCGCCGTGAGGAACAACGCTTGGGTGCGCGATAACCGTTGACCTCCCCAAAGATATCCAGTCACAGACGACATTCAAGCCATTTATCTCGATGCTTACCTGCTCCACAGATCAGGATTTTGCTGCCCAGATTCACTCGGCCTCGACGACAGGCATGAATCGCAACTGAAAGGGGCTCGATGAAAGCACCTTCTTCAGAGCTCACACACTCGGGAAGCCTGAAACAAAGAAACAACTTGGATCATGTGTGCCACACCCTTCTTTCGGTAAATTGAATCCACGCCTTTAACCGCTTGCACTGACTGTGAGAGTCTAGAGCTAGAGGTTCTTAGAGTTACAGCACGAGAGGCTAGTCTCTTAGGACTGAGGTGGAGAGAAACGTCTTCACTCAGACGTTTGGAATTCAATTTCCAAGACAGCTGGGATGCTCAGTGGTTGAGGATATTCAAGGTTTTTGGACTTCAAGGAGAATCAAACCATCACGGAAGCCAACCTTCCATCCATGGACTCCATTACACAGCTCGCTGCCGCGGAAAGATGGCCAACATCATTAAAGACCCATCACACCCCGGTACAACCTCTTCCGTCAGGCAGAAGGTACAGAATCCTGAACACACGCACCAACAGGTTCAAGAACAGCTTCTTCCCAGCTGTTGTTAAACTGATGAATGGACTCTCTAGCCTCAAATAACGCTGATCTTGCTAACGTTGATCTCAGCTAACGCATCTCCTGTGCAATGTAACCTATACGTCTCTAAGTCTTTTTGGTCTGTACATCCTTGCTTACTATGACCTGTCTGTACTGCTCATAAACAAAGCTTTTCACTGTATTTCGGTACACATGACAATAAATCAATCAATCAACAGTGATACAGTAGGAAGTTGAGGTACAAGATCGGCAATGATCTTACTAAATGGCAGGGCAGGCTCGAAGGGCCGGATGGCCCACTCCTGCTCCTAGTTCTTCTGTTCTTATGTTCTTATTGGACCCGATCCTATAACGGTAATCTTAATTGAGTTGTAATTCATAAGACCACAGTAATGTTTGAGAACGATAGTTAAAATCCCATCACAGCCACTGGGGAAATTTAAAGTAAATTTTTTGAATAAATCTGGAATTTCAATGCTATTCTCAATAACAGTGATCATGAAACTACTGGATAATCATAAAAAGCCATCTAATCCAACCAAAGTCCATCAGAGATGAAAATCTGGACTACATGTGACTCCAAACCCACTGTGAAATAGCTGACTTACCTCTTGATCCCTCAATGCTGTCTACCTTTTACAAGATACAAATGGAATATGATGGAATACTCTCCACTTACCTGGGTGAGTGTAGCTCTAATAACACCCAAGAGGACCCGACATCATTGAGGACAAAACACACCCCTGCCTCCCCGGTTGGCGCACCATCGACTACCTTCAACATTCTCTCCCTTCACCACTATTACACAGTAGCAGCAAGATACAATGTATACTATCTACCAGTAATACAACATGAATCCTCCGACTCCCTTCCAAACCTGCGACATCTATGAACAAAGGCAGCAGGATACATGGGAACACCACCCTCTGCGCGTTCCTCTCCAAACCACTCACCATCCTGACTGGGAAATATATTGCTGTTCCTTCACTGGGCCCACGATGTTCGAAATCTCCCTAAGTGCACTGTGGTTGCACCTAACCCTCGGTCTGCAGCATTCATGAAGGCAACTCACCACCACCTTCCCCAGGATGATTAGAGATAGGTTCTAGCCAGTGACTGCCACATCATGAATGAATAAAATTAATTGATACATCAACTGCCAGAAGGTGTCTGGGAGAGGCTCCAACCAGCAGTGATGGTGATGAAGAGCTGCAATGGGCTGTGGGGTGATGAAGGGTTGCAACGGGAAGTGTGGAGGGGGGGAAGAATACTGCAATGGGGAGAGAGGGACTGCAGAAAGGAGTGAGCAGTTTTGAACCTGTCGGCATAAAGGTGTAAAAGTTAACCTTAAACTCAGCTAACTCTGAACCAGGTAATCCTGAAATCGACAACTATTGTACTGTCACATTGTCATGACAATGGTGCATACAGCTGGATTGCATGCAGACTTATTGCATTTGCAATTACAATGTGTTTTTGAGCATAATTCAATGAATGTGTGGAAGACCTGTGTGGACTTTCCCAGCGTCATGGGAAATCATGGAATGTCATACTCAAAGGGTGTTAAGGGAACTTCCAAGTGAGGGATTTAAAGGGAGAAATACACTGCAAACTGAACTGTAGTCCCCTGTGAGTTACCTCCGACTGTGAACATGATGGGAGTAAAGGCTGCAAAAGGCATGTTATATTTTCATCTTTCAGGACTACATAAGATTGGGGGATAAAAGCCATTGAACTCCGATCTGTGTGTGCCAGTGGATGAAGGGATGTGATGGTCATAGCTGAGAAAACCCCCATGTCATCCTTGCATTGTAGGTAAAAAGAAAGGAAGTTTCTCTCTCTCTTTGATGGAAGCCAAAATGTAAGAGAACCTAAATTTGAAAGAAAGCAGGACAAATGCCTTTCAGCTGATTTGCAAAGCCAAGCATCTTGAATGAATTATCTACCTTCCTGCTAGTAGTATCACCAAACATCTGCTCTTCAAGGAACTCAGAGACTGATCCATGTATCTTTTCTAACTTTTTTTGGAGTTAACTATCATTTTGAATCTATGTGTTCGCGTGATGCATTATTATTGCTTCTTGCGTACAGTAACCCATATTTGTACTAACTCATAAAGCTCTGGTCAAATTGGTTCCATTTTAAAACATAAACTCATTTGTCTGAGAGGCAACCAAGAGGGAAAGGGTTCTTTCTAAATTAACTTTGTTTCATCTGAGGGGTAGGTAAATAAACAAGGAGAGCCTGTTCACTTGGGAGCTTGATAATTTGGGGTATCCCAGCTAGAACTGTAATAAAGTGGGGAACCTCACCCTGGGACTGGTTGTAACAAGTGTAAGGGGTTAAGTCGGCTGTGTGATACACTAACGATACATCATCACAGGAAGTGATATAGTGTCACATGATTTTTCTCCCTCTCACAGCCTTGTGACAAGATCAAGGTACAATAATAAGATATTTCTTAAATAAAGTTAACAATCTCCTTACCTTGGTAGATTCTGTAAATATTATTCAGCAGCACAACAAGACCAAGAATATTATAACATTGTGGAACACGTTGCTACAGAAAGGCAAGTGGTGTAGGTGTATTTAACGGGAAGCTAAATGATGCGTAAGGGTGTGACGATGAGAAAGAGAGAGAGGGGACAGTAATGACTGCACATGCTGGAAGCCAGCATCTGTAGACGTGAGGCTGGAAAAACACAACAGGTCAGACAAGCATCTGAAGAGCAGTAAAGTCATCGTTTTGGCCAAAAACCTTCATCAGATGGCTTTGAGGGGTTATTTTGTCCTTTTTTTTTGAAGAGAGGTTGTAAGGCAGAGGTTCCGAGCAGTCTGGGGTAATGTAAACAGCTCGGGAGGTCTTGTGTTTTTTTTAATGCAGCCTGAATGGGAATGGCCAGCTCTTGTAGATCCAGATTTCTGGGTTTTATTTCTTTCAGTAGCATCAGAAGCCGTTGGGGTGTCAACAGAGTTAGAGCTTCAGTGAATGCCTTCTGGCAGCTACTCTCTCTGAATTTTCTGTTGATGTTTTCCTCCTGGATTGGAGAACTGCATGTGCAAATCTGTGTCTGAATTTTCCTTTTTGCCAAGGGTGTGTTTATAAGATGTTACTACATTGGAACAGTTAATTAGTATTAGTTACTGTACCTATTATTCTATTAAGTTTTCCAATAGAGTTAGGTTATTGTAAATTCCTCTTTCTTTGTTTGTACTTTAACAAGATCGTTTAAATAAATTGTGTTTTGCTTAACATCAAGTAGTTTGACCAATTGCATTATATCTGGAACAAGCACTTCACATTTGCCTTTAAAAATAAGAAAAAGTTTGGGTCTAGGCTACCTTCTAAATTATTATGGGACGGTCTTGTCTGATCCAATACAAGGGAGAATGAAATACTCTGATAGATTGAGATGAAGTAGAGTAGGAAGAAGTCCATCAGAAATAGAAACGCCCAACTGGCCTATAAAAAAGCAAAGACTGTGCTTACTGACTCGAAGCACACTACACGTTATCAACAGTATCTCACAAATATACTTACAAATATCAATTAATGATAATACTTTAATGAAACTGTGTATTCAGTCACAGAAAGAAAGTGTAAAGCAAAGAAGAACTTTTACTTTACTTTCCAAAAATCAGCTTAATATTGTCGGAAATAACTGGTGATGTTTTGGTTAAAAAAATTAATGAGTACCTTAATAAGCCAATGTATTGTGCGAATATTATCACAGATGGTCATGTAAATAAACTGTAAAAAAAAACAAACTTTTCTTTAAATATTCAATAATCATCTTATTATTGTATGCAGTGCATTGGTGTCAGTAAGCAGATCCAAAATGAAACACTGCGGATGCTGGAAATCTGGAATAAAAGCAGAGAATTCTGGAGAAACTCAGTGAGTGTTGCAGCATCTGTGGAGAAAGAAACAGAGTTAATATTTCCAATCCCAGATTTTGAAGACACATATTAGACGCAAAACATTACTTTTGTTTTTCTCACTAAACAAAAAAACGAAAGAAATGCGGATGCTGAAAATCAGAATCAAAAACAGAAATTGCTGAAAAAAAATTCAGCAGGTCTGGCAGCATCTTTGGAGAGAAATCAAAGTTAACATTTTGGGTCCAGTGACCCTTCCTCAGAACTGAGTTTCCAGCAAATTTCTGTTTTTATACCTCTGTTTTTCTCTCTCTGCAGATGCTGCCGGGCCTGCTGAGTTTCTGCAGCATTCTCTGTTTTTATTTCAGATCATCTGCAGTGTTTTGATTTATTCAGGAGAGAATTACAAGTCGATAAGATGTGGAGCTGGAGGAGCACAGCATCAGAGGAGCAGGAAAGTCGACGTTTTGGGTCGGGACCCTCCATCAGGATTGGGAGGGGTAAGGCAGCTCAAAAATAAATAGAGGGAGAGGGGTGGGGCTGGGGGTAGGAAGGTGGGATGGTGATAGGCGGATGCAGGTACGGGGTTGTAGAGATTGGTTAATGGTAAGGGTGGGGCAGATGGGCGAGAAGGGAGATGGACAGGTTGTGTCAAGTCAGGGAGGCGGGGATGAGAGGGAGGGCTGGACATGGAATAAGGCCTGGGGTGGGGAGATTTTGAAGCTGGTAAACTCTACGTTGAGGCCATTGGGCTGTAAGTTCTCGAGGTGGAATTTAAGGTGTTGTTCCTCGGTTTATGTGTCACTTCATTGTGGCACTGGAGGAGGCCCAGGATGGACATGTCGCCCAGGGAGTGGGAAGGGGAGTTGAAATGGCTGGCAGCTGGAAGGTGGAGTTGATTGGAGCGTACAAGAGAGCATAAGCTCTGCAAATTGGTCACCGAGTCTGCGCTTGGTCTTTCCAACATAGGGGAGACCACATTAGGAGCAATGGAGGCAATGGACCGGGTTAGAATACGTACCGGTGAATCTCTGTCAGATTTGGAATGATTGTTTGAGGCCTTGAACGGAGGTGAGAGGGCAAGTGAGAGGCGAGGTGTAGCACTTTCTGCGGTAAACTGGAGGCACAACAACTTATATTCCGCCTTAGGAGCTTACAGCCCAATGGCCTCAACATACAGTTCACCAGCTTCAAAATCTCCCCATCCTCCCAGCCTCATCCTATGTCCAGTCCGCCTTCTCAGCCCTGCCTCATCGACCCGACACAACCTGCCCATCTCCCTTCTCACCTATCCGCCTCATCCTTCCCATTAACCAATCACTCCAATCCCCTACCTGCATCCACCTGTCACCATCCCACCTACCTTCCCGCAACCCCACCCCCTCCCTCTATTTTTTTCCCATCTCCCTTCCCCCTCCCCAATCCTGATGAAGGGTCCTGCTCCACTGATGCTGTCTGACCTGCCGTGCTCTGCCAGCTCCACATTTTATCAACTCTAACTTCCAGCATCTGCAGTCCTCGCTGTCTCCTAGTCGCTGAGAATTACAAGTTGTTTGCCGCACTCAAACTGGGCTTTTCTTTGAAAACATCCAGATGAGGAAACCATTCAACTTGTGACGGTGACCAGGCATCATCAAATCAGGGGCTACACAGTACTTACTTGAAACAGTAGTTGGCATTGTGGGCATAGTATTGGGACAAGTGCCCATCGTAGGGTGGAGTAGCACAGCAGAACATATTTGGAGATAGATTGTAGCGTCCCGATTTACAGAATTCATCATCTACTAATGGGTAAGCAGGTTCAATGGCAACTCTGTCACCTGAAAGAAAGGAGGTAGTGAACAGTTCTTGACTCAAGTCTTTGGTGTATGGGTAAGCATTGTGGGGAATGCCTTCCTTGGATGCCTTCCTAAATAAAAAGCTGTCCATCTGTCTTAAATTTCCAATTGGCACTCAGATAAGACAACAAAATTCCAGATTCCCACTGCCCTCAACATGATAAAGAGCTTCCAGAGTGTCCTCCTGAATTTAACGGACTTGTGGTAATTTATTTGTGCCTCCTTTTGTTGGATCTTCCCCACTGGAGAGTATCACTCAACCCGAACATACCTTCCAGCAACCTGAGAGGGTATTTTAGTTAGCAGCAAATTCTTTTGATGCTCCTCTCCACAGTCCCCTCTGTACATATTGAGAAAATGATTAGCATGGATAAGGACTATGGCCATTTGTGCTTCAAGCTAAAGTTTAATAAAAATTTAACATTCTTCTTAAAGTTTAATTGTAGTAATTGGAACCAGGTGGATCTTATTGACAAGAGATCCTTGATTGGAGATGTTAACCAGCCAATCAGGGAACCCTGGCTGACAGATATAAACAGGGGATGCAGAGAGTCTCCTCAGTCTAAGAACTGGGTCTGAACTGGCTGGGCAGAGCCCATATACAAACTATATGTAAATAAAGGGTGACTTGGTGGCTGGATACGAGCCCCAGTGCAGTTATTTCAGTAACTTTCTCCGAGTTTTAGACACTGACCTGCTTTGAGATGTTGTACGCCTGATCCCACTTTAACCACAGTCCCTGAGCCTTCATGTCCCAAGACCATGGGCTTTCTAATGATGGCATCTCCTAGTTTTCCTTGTTGCCAGTAGTGGACATCTGTGGCACAGATACCAACTGCATTCATCTTCAAGAGCACCTCTGAACATACAGCAGAGAAGGGTGATGAGGGACTGACAGATGTACTCTTTGGTAAAAAATACAGCTTTAATATTTTGATGAATATTAGCATCCTTCAATGTTCAATTTAACTAGTGTTACTTCTGTCTTCACAAATTAGATTACCAGCTCATGAGAAACACCCTGGAGCCCAACATAAATACAGAACAGATAAAGTTATGAGGCCTAACTATCCATTTCAAGATATCTTGTATTGTATCTAGCAATCCGCTTGCACTACCCATTTCAATGACTTTCCAATGAAGCTTCAATTCTGGTCTCCCTGCTATAGGAAAGATATTGTTAAACTTGAAAAGGTTCAGAAAAGATTTACAAGGATGTTGCCAAGGTTGGAGCTATAGGGAGAGGCTGAATAGGCTTGGACATTTTTCCCTGGGGTGTTGGAGGCTGAGGGGTGACCTTATTGAATCATTAATAGGGTGAATAACCAAGGTCTTTACCCCCAATTTAGGGGTGTCCAAAACTAGAGGGTATAGGTTTAAGGTGAGAGGGGAAAGATTTAAAAGGGACCTAAGGGATAACTTTTCCACGCAGAGGGTGGTACATGTATGGAATGAGCTTCCAGAGGAAGTGGTGGAGGTGGATAAAATTACAACATTTAAAAGACACCTAGATGGGCACATGAATAAGAAGGGTTTAGAGGGATGTGGGGTCAAATGCTGACAGATGGGACTAGACTAGTTTAGAATATCTGGTCAGCATAGACGAGCTGGACCAAAGGGTCTGTTTCCGTGCTGCACATTTCCATAACTCTAGGTTTATACCAAAAACAATCACTAGTAAATATATAGGGCCTGTAATGCAGTAAGCCATCCCAAGGCCCTTCACAGGCATGTCAGGGGCAATAACTGCCCTTCTCAAGGGATTAGGGACAGTGATAGATGCCTGAAAAATCAAGGCTGACAGTCTACTGCAGTACTGGGGGAGGGCAGCACTGCCTGTAGCATTAAGCTTTGGATGACATGCTAAACGGACACCCTGCTTTCCTTCTGCTAATGATCCTATGGCACCACTTCAGCAAAGAGAGGAGGGAATTGTCTCCGATAGCTGTCAGTCCACATCACAAAAAAACAGATTATTCCCTCATGAACAGAAATTGCTGGGAAAAATCCCAGCCGGGTCTGGCAGCATCTGTGGAGAAAAAGCAGAAATTAACGTTTCGGGTCCAGTGACCCTACTTCAGAACTGGGCCTGAAATGTTACACTCTGCTTTCTTTTCACAGATGCTGCCAGGCCTGCTGAGTTTTTCGAGCAATTCCTGTTTTAGTTTCTGATTTCCAGCATCTGCGTACTTTGTTTTTTTTTTAATCCCACCCCCCACCATGATCTTGTTGTTGTTTGTGGGAGCTTGCTGTGCATTCGCTGCATTTTCAACATTACAACGTTGGCTACATTTCACAAGTACTCCCATTGGCTACAAAGCGCTTTCAGGTGGTCTGACATGGTGACAAGCACTAGAGCAATGAAAAACACCAAGTCTTGATGCACAAAGTACAACATTGTGTAGGACATGGCTGTACATGTCAGTGATTCCACACACTGTTTGTCAAGAGAATGACGATATTTTCCATACTTGAATGCAATCTGCAGTGAATATTAAAGTCCCACAAGGTAATCCAACACCAGTTCAGGATTGCTCGTATGTCCTGAGGGATCTACTGAGGCTATGAGTTGCTTTCATCACTCATCAATTTATATGAGCACTACTTTAATTGAGGAAGCATTATTAATATCTGTGTGTACTTTTTATAAACTGAAGTTTCCACAATCTTGAATGCCCCATCAATACAATGCTCCAAGCCTCTGACTCTAGCTTCAGGAAATATTACCCAATTCTGTGTCACAATTATAGGAGTATTATGGAAACTACATTGCATTCTTCCAAGTATTAGCCCAGAAAATACAAGTCCAACCATTATAAACATTCCATCTTACTGCAACTCTATTTTAAATATGAAGGATGTTGATAGAGTGTATTGAGAGGAAGTGTTGGCAGCAGCTAAAGAACAGAGAATTAAGGCAATTAGTGAAAGGGCAGTAGAGGAGACAAGGTGAACTATTTTTCCACCGTTGCAATATGGATTGCAATGCCAGAGATGGGTGTGGAAACTTTCCATAAATAAATACTTGAAAGGGGGAAGGGTTTGTAAGGGCAAGACAATGAGAACAATAGGGCTTCTATGTTTAAAAAGTTATTATTAGATTGATGGGCCAAATGACTTGGCTATACACCAAACATTCTCTGATGTTGTGAAACAACCAATTATGAATCCCATTTATCAACTTTATTTATGATATTTATGCATGTTATGAATGTCACATCCTTTAAACCCTGAATTATTTTACTTCATAGGGAATAATGGTGGTTTGTCTAAAGTGTAGAAAGTAACAGAAAGTAAAGACTGAGGACAACTGCACACATAAAGCAGTCGGAAGACTCACCATTAAAACCTGGTTCTGGGATTGAGCGTTTCTCCTGTGGAGAGAGGATGAAAAATGGATTTAAGAAAGTTCTGATCCTTCATCATTGTTACAGAATCACAACGCTGAGATTTCATAGGCACAAGAGTAGGCCATTCAGACCCTCGAGCCTTTTCCACCATCAATAAGATCATGGCTGATCTGTGACCTACCCCTTAATACCTTTGCTTAACAAAAATTTATCCATCTCAGATTTAAAATTAACAACTGATCTAGCATCCATTGCTGTTTGTGGAAGAGAGTTCAAAATATGTACTACACTTTGTGTGTGGAAGTGCTTCCTAACATCTCTTCTGAATGGTCTGGCCCTAATTCTCATACTGTGTCCCTATTTTTATAATCCCCAACCAGTGGAAATTGTTTATCTTTAACTATCCAATCTTTTCCTGTTAATATCTTGAAGACTTTGATCAGATGACCCTTTAACCTTCTAAATTCTAGAGAAGAACAGCTTCATTTGTATATTTTCTCCTCAGAGCTTAACCCCTGAAGTTCAGGTGTCATTCTACCAGCATTTTACTCCTTCCAAGGCCAATTTAGCCTTCCTAAGGTGTGGTGCCATATCTGCACAAAGTGCTCCGAGTGTGATCTAACTAGAGTTTGTATAACTGCAGCAAGACTTCTGCAGCCTTACATTCCAGTCCTTGAGATATAACGTACAGCAATCCATTACCTTTCTTGATTATTTTCTGCAACTGCTGATGATATTTTAAAGATCTATGCACGTGAACCCCACAAGTCTCTTTGGATGACCACGATTACAAAAAATCTCAACAGTTGGCTCAGTTGGTAACACTCTTGACTCTATGGCAGAGGGTCATAGGTTCAAGCCCTATTCCAGACACCTTACCTAGGTTGACACGCACCAGGCTGGGACCTAGGGACTGCCAGAAGTTCCACCTCAGGCAAATTTAAAGGATCCCATACACTACTTCCACAAACAGCAGGAGATATATTTATCCCTCAACCAATATCTCATTATCTGGCCATTACCACACTGCTGTGTACAAAGAGTGTGCAATATTTCCCCACATTACAACAATGAGTACATTGTAAAATACTCAGCAACACCCTAAAATGATAGGAAATGTTGGTCCTACTTTCCGTGCTACAATGAAAGAAAAGTACTTTATTATTCCAAAATGGAGTGCGTTTTTCAATTTTAGCTTCTGGCTCTGTCCCTCAGCCTCCAAAAGCGAATCCATACTGCTCCCGTGCCCCAAACTATTTCTAGTCCACAAAAACCTGGTCGTGGTTGAAGGGGAAACAAGCAGATCTTCATCTGCTGCTGTCACTTGTCATTCCAGCTTTTGTAGAGCTCCGTTGAACACCTCATGTGTCATGTGTGCCACAAACATTCAGAAGCTCTGAGTTGGCGCTATTAGTCAAGACGATATAAATTTGGTACACAGTACAGGTACCACACCGAGAATGTATTTCTGGCATCCCAGTATCTGTCTAAACCTGTATCTCACACTCTCGCTGCTCCTGTCCCACATACTAGTCTCTATAAACTTATGTCTTTACAACTCTGCTGTTCATGTCAGAACACACACCAAAGCTCCATTCCGCAATCACCCCTATACTCCATAACTTTAAAATTCTCATCTTTGTCTTACTATCCCTCCATTACCTCACCCCTCCCTATCTAGTCATACAATCATAGACCCATAGACTCATACAGCATGGAAACAGACCCTTCGGTCCAACCAGTCCATGTCAACCATATTCCCAAACTAAAATTGTCACACCTGCCTGCACTAGGCTCATAACCCTCCAAACAATTCTTGTTCATGTACTTATACAGAAGTCTTTTAAACATTGTAACTGTATCTGAATCCACTACTTACTCTGGAAATTCATTCCACACACAGACCACTCTCTGTGTAAAAATTTGCTCCTCATGTCTTTTTAAATCTTTCTCATCTCACCCTAAAAATTGGAAAACCCCATCCTAGGGAAAGGACACCTGACCATTCACCTTATCTATACCCCTCATGATTTCATAAATCTTTATAAGATCATCTCTCAACCACCTACGTCCCAGTGAAAAAGATCCCAGCCTATCCAGCCTTTCCTTATAACTCAAACCCTCCATTCCCAAAAATATCCTCGTAAATCTCTTCTGAATCCTCTTGAGCTTAATAGTATCTTTCTTATAACAGGACAACCAGAACTGGACACAGTATTCCAAAAGTAGCCTCACCAACATCTTGGACAACAACAACATGGCCTCCCAACTCCTATACTCAAAGGTCTGAGGAATGAAGGTAAGCGTGCTAAACACCTTCTTAACCACCCTATCTATATGTGATGCAAATTTCAGAGAATTAGGTCTCTCTGTTCAACAACAATATCCAGGGCCCTGCCATTAACTGTATAAGACTTGCCCTTGTTTGTTATACCAAAATGCCTATATGATGCTGCTTAGCCTGCTGTGTTCATCCAGCTCTGCACCTTGTTGTCTCGGATTCTCCAGCATCTGCAGTTCCTACTATCTCTAGCCTTCTTCACTGTCCACTATACCACCAATTTAGGTGTGTTCCGCAAGCTTACTAAACATGCTTTCTATATTCTCATCTAAATCATTTATATAAGTGACAAACAAATGTGGACCCAGCATCGATCCCTGTGGAACACCGCTGGTCACAGGCCTCCAGTTCAAAAGACAACCCTCCACTATTACTCTCTGCCTCCTGCCATTAAGCCAATTTTGTAGCTGATTGGCAAACTTTAATCTCTCTCTAATCCCTGCACCAACCTGTAAACGAGCAGCATAAGTACAATACATGGCCACCATGTGAGTGCACTCACCACTAATTTACGAAAATGTCTTCGGGGAGACGCAGCTGAAAGATGTGTTCATTAAAATGCCTAACCAGGCCCTGTACGAAGTGTAATTCACCAATGTCTAATGGAAAACCAATTTATTCTTGAACAAACTGGTTGAGTTATGATAAAACAAAGAATGCGGGTGCTGGATATCTGAAAAACAAACAGAAATTCTGAAGCAGGGTCACTAGACTTGAAACTTTACCTTCTGCTTTGACTCCAAAGATGTTGCCAGACTTGTTGAGTTTCTCCAGCAATCTCTGTTTCTGTTGCGGTTGAGTTATTAGTTATTCAGGGAGAGTTGGAGCCAAATTACACAACACAAGCAAACTCTCAAACACCACGGCCATTGTCAGATTTTCTGTGACATTTTACATTGAAGTATTTGGGCATTGTGCAAACCAAGAAGCCATTAGGTGGTATTATAGAAGTACTATCGAAAGGACATGATTGTACTGGAGAGAGGGCAGAGGAGGTCCATCAGGATGTTGCCTGGGATGAAAAGTCTCAGTTATGAGGAGAGACTGGATAGACTGGGCTCATTTTCCTTGGAGCACAAGAGGCTGAGGGGTAGTGGGTTGGGTGGGAATCTGATTGAGGTACATAAAATATGGGAAATATACACAGGGTAGATGGTGAAAATCTTTTCCCCATGGCAAACGTGTCTAAGACCAGAGGGTATAAGGCTAAGGTGAAGAGCTAGTGGTTTGGAGGTAAGCTGAGAAAGAACTTTTTCACCTAGAGGTGGTAGAAATATAGAATGTGCTGCCTGAGGGTGGTGGAGGCAGCTACTCTCGGAAACCTTATAGAAGTTTATAAAATAATGAGGGGTATAGATACGGTTAATGGTAGGTGCCTTTTTCCTAGGATGGGGGATTTCAAGACTAGGGGACACATTCTTAAGGTGAGAGGAGAGAGATTCACAAAAAGACATGGGGGCAATTTTTTTACACAGAGGATGATTCGCATGTGGAATGAACTTCCTGAGGAGGTGGTGGATGTGGGGACAGTTACAACATTTTAAAAACATTTGGATAAGTACATGAATAGGAAAGGTTTGGAGGTAGGAGCAGGCAGGTGGGACTAGTTTAGTTTGGGATTATGTTCGACATGGACTGGTTGGACCGAAAGATCTATTTCTGTGCGATACGACTCTATTTGACTGTATGATTCTTGCAGCATATAAGGAGCAACTGGATAAAATGCCAGGGCATAGTAGGCTAAGGACCCAGTGCAGGTAAATGGTGTTTGTTGGCATAGACATTGCGGGCCGAAGGCCCTGTTTCTATGCTGTATGACTCTGTAATGTCGCCACGTTTGGAAGTTTAGATGTGAGGGTGTGGTTTTGCTTTTGGATTTAATGCACGCGAGGGAAAGTACAATTGCTGCTTTACAACCTTGAGATACTTTGCAATTTTCCTCCTTTTGTAAATAAATTTCTTTGCTGTTAAACTCACGCTGAATTCCACGGCATTTCCTCTTGCTCCACAGGTAGGCTATGTCCCCTCCCTTTATGTCTGCATGTTGATGCTGATGTAACAAGCAGTGTTCACATACTTTCACCCCATTGACTTCAAATGCCTCAGGCTCAGGTTACACATCATGACACAATGCTGTAATATTCGAACACCTTTTGCAGAACATTTTTTGTCAGTGAAGCTTTTAAAAACACACCCTGGACTTAAAGTAATGAATCACCATGTCTCTGGGATATTTCAATGTGGATTTGCTGTGGGCGATAGCCACAGTTGACACTGAAGAGGTTGGAACTGCTGTCTGGGAAAGTATGACACCGTGCAGACACCGTGACACAGATTTACAAAGCAGTGTGACCACACAGCCTATCTCATTCTCTGCCAACTCGTGTGAGCAATAGGCTTGGACTGTATGCCAGTGGCTGATGGTGACATCTGTTCATTGGTCACTCTGACCTAGTGGTATTTTTTGAAGTAAGTTCCAGCCAGACTTTGTGACAGTGGAAATCTAAAAGCAACAGTGGTAATTGCCAGTCGCACCAGTCACACATTTCCATTATGCTCACCAACCCACTCTGACTCCCAATCCAGACACATTTCAATTTGAATATTCCCATTCTTGCATTCTAGCCACTCCTTGACCTGCCTTGCTGTGTAATCCCTTCCAGCCCTATAAAACCATCCAAAATCTCTGCATTCCTCCAGTTGCTGACTTGCATTTCCGATTTGAGTTGCTCCAACACTGGCAGTCATGCTTTTAATCAGCTAGACCCTAAACTCTAGAACTCTTTCCCTAAACCCTTCTAACTCTTTCTCCTCTTTTAAGAGCCTGTTTGACAAAGCTCACGATCATTTATCTTCATATCTCCTCATGTGACTAATTGCCAAATTCTGTTCAATAACTCAAGGTAAAGAACCTTGAGAATGATTTACCACGTTAAAGATGTTACAAAAATGCAGGTTGTGGTCTCCTGCGAAGTTATGACAGGCAGTTAGTGATTGTTTTTATTCATTCAGACCATGTATTGCCCATCACTACTTACCCAGACAGCAGTTAAGAGTCAATGACATTGCTCTAGATCTGCAGTCACATGTAGCCAGACCAGGTAAGGATGGCAGTTTCCTTCCCTAAAGGACATCAGTGAACCAGAAGGGTTTTTCCAACAATTAACAATAGATTCATGGTCATCATTAGACTCTTAATTCCAGATTTTATTTGTACTGAATTCAAATTCCACCATCTGCCATGACAGGATTCAAACCCAGGAGCCTAGAACATTATCTAGGTCTCTGGACTAACAGTTCAGCAGTAATAAGACTAGGCTATCCTCTGACCTATATTAGAAAATTATTCAAGATATTACTCCATATGGAGGTCAACTTTTGAACTGGCTACCATTCAAATTCATAGTTGTTGTGAATGTAAATTCCCTGAAGCACCAATTTACAATGCAATCTTTCCCAAAATCTTAACTTTTAATCTGAATCATTTCTTCCTTCACTGAGATAACAAGTTGTAGACCTGGATGAACACAGCAGGCCAAGCAGCATCAGAGGAGCAGGAAGGCTGATGTTTCGGGCCTAGACCCTTCTTCAGAAATGGGGGAGGGGAAGGGGGTTCCGAAATAAATAGGGAGAGAGGGGGAGCCGGATAGAAGGTGGATAGAGGAGAAGATAGGTGGAGAGGAAACAGACAGGTCGAAGAGGCAGGGATGGAGCCAGTAAAGGTGAGTGTAGGTGGGGAGGTAGGGAGGAGATAGGTCAGTCCAGGGAGGACAGACAGGTCAAGGGGGCGGGATGAGGTTAGTAGGTAGGAGATGGGGGTGGGGCTTGCGGTTGGAGGAGGGGAAAGGTGGGAGGAAGGACAGGTTAGGGAGGCGGGGATGAGCTGGGCTGGTTTTGGGATGTGGTAGGGGGAGGGGAGATTTTGAAGCTTGTGAAATCCACATTGATACCATTGGGCTGCAGGGTTCCCAAGCGAAATATGAGTTGCTGTTCCTGCAACCTTTGGGTAGCATCATTGTGGCACTGCAGGAGGCCCAGGATGGACATGTTGTCTGCGGAATGAGAGGGGGAGTTGAAATGTTTCACGACTGGGAGGTGCAGTTGTTTAGTGCGAACCGAGTGTAGGTGTTCTGCAAAGCGGTCCCCAAGCCTCCGCTTGGTTTCCCCGATGTAGAGGAGGCCACAACGGGAACAGCAGATGCAGTATACCACATTAGCAGATGTGCAGGTGAACATCTGCTTGATGTGGAAAGTCTTCTTGGGGCCTGGGATGGGGGTGAGGGAGGAGGTATGGGGGCAGGTGTAGCATTTCCTGCGGTTGCAGGGAAAAGTGCCGGGTGAGGTGGGGCTGGAGGGGAGTGTGGAACGGACAAGGGAGTCACGGAGAGAGTGGTCCCTCCGGAAAGCAGATAAGGGTGTGGAGGGAAAAATGTCTTTGGTGGTGGGGTCGGATTGCAGATGGCGGAAGTGTCAGAGGATGATGGGTTGGATCCGGAGGTTGGTGGGGTGGTACGTGAGGATGAGGGGGATTCTGTTTTGGTTGTTATTGCGGGGACGGGGTGTGAGGGATGAGTTGCGGGAAATGCGGGAGACACGGTCGAGGGCGTTCTCGACCACTGAGGGGGGAAAGTTGCGGTCCTTGAAAAACGAGGACATCTGAGATGTACGGGAGTGGAATGCTTCATCCTGGGAGCATATGCGGCGGAGGCGAAGGAATTGGAAATAGGGGATGGCATTTTTTCAGGAAGGTGGGTGGGAGGAGGTGTATTCTAGGTAGCTGTGGGAGTCGGTGGGCTTGAAATGGATATCGGCTTCTAGGTGGTTGCCGGAGATGGAGACAGAGAGGTCCAGGAAGGAGAGAGAGATATTCGAGATGGTCCAGGTGAACTTAAGGTTGGGGTGGAAGGTGTTGGTGAAGTGGATGAACTGTTCGAGCTCCTCGTGGGAGCACGAGGCGGCGCCGATACAGTCATCAATGTAACGGAGGAAGAGGTGGGGTTTAGGGCCAGTGTAGGTACGGAAGAGGGATTGTTCCACATAACCTACAAAGAGGCAGGCGTAGCTTGGGCCCATGCGGGTACCCATAGCCACCCCCTTTGTCTGTAGGAAGTGGGAGGAATTGAAAGAGAAGTTGTTGAGGGTGAGGACGAGTTCGGCTAAGCGGATGAGGGTGTCAGTGGAGGGGACTGTTGGGCCTGCAGGACAGGAAGAAGCGGAGGACCTTTAAGCCATCTGTATGGGGAATGCAGGTGTATAGGGACTGGACGTCCATGGTAAAGATGAGGTGTTGGGGACCGGGGAATTGGAAGTTCTGGAGGAGGTGGAGGGCGTGGGTGGTGTCACAGACGTAGGTAGGGAGTTCCTGGACCAAGGGGGAGAAAATTGAGTCCAGATAGGTGGAGATAAGTTCGGTGGGGCAGGAACAGGCGGAGACAATGGGTCGACCAGGGCAGTCAGGTTTGTGGATTTTGGGAAGGACCGCAGGAAGTGCTACACCTGCCCCTATACCTCCCCCCTCACCCCCATCCCAGGCCCCAAGAAGACTTTCCACATCAAGCAGATGTTCACCTGCACATCTGCTAATGTGGTATACTGCATCTGCTGTACCCGTTGTGGCCTCCTCTACATCGGGGAAACCAAGCGGAGGCTCGGGGACCGCTTTGCAGAACACCTACGCTCGGTTCGCACTAAACAACTGCACCTCCCAGTCGCGAAACATTTCAACTCCCCCTCTCATTCATCAGACGACATGTCCATCCTGGGCCTCCTGCAGTGCCACAATGATGCTACCCAAAGGTTGCAGGAACAGCAACTCATATTTCGCTTGGGAACCCTGCAGCCCAATGGTATCAATGTGGATTTCACAAGCTTCAAAATCTCCCCTCCCCCTACCGCATCCCAAAACCAGCCCAGCTCATCCCCGCCTCCCTAACCTGTTCTTCCTCCCACCTATCTCCTCCTCCCACCGCAAGCTCCACCCCCATCTCCTCCCTACTAACCTCATCCCACCCCCTTGACCTGTCTGTCCTCCCTGGACTGACCTATCTCCTCCCTACCTCCCCACCTACACTCACGTTTACTGGCTCCATCCCCGCCTCTTTGACCTGTCTGTCTCCTCTCCACCTATCTTCTCCTCTATCCATCTTCTATCCGGCTCCCCCTCTCTCCCTATTTATTTCGGAACCCCCTTCCTCTCCCTCATTTCTGAAGAAGGGTCTAGGCCCGAAACGTCAGCCTTCCCGCTCCTCTGATGCTGCTTGGCCTGCTGTGTTCATCCAGCTCTACACCTTGTTATCTCAGATTCTCCAGCATCTGCAGTTCCTACTATCTCTTCCTTCACTGAGAGTTGTTTTTGAGTGATAGTCAGGTGCATTGAAACCAGCCTTGGAGGGAACAACATTACAACAAACACCTTAGAACACCTGTATGCAGCTAAATGGGTCAGCTGAACTCAAAAACACTTTAGCTTGTGTTACTTACTTGTACTCACTGTGGTCTCACCTCAAGTTGGCATGTTGGAACTTAACCAAAGTAGTAATTGATGTCTCATGGAGATGTAATCTGTCATCACATCCCTAACCACACTTGCTGAATGTTGCAAACCTGTTTACTGCTAAAACCGCTCCTGTTAAGTAAACTAGTCACTAGGAGAGATTTTAAAGCCTCTTACTTCAAATAAATGGAGAGGCAGGAATAGAACCATATCGCACTCCTGTTAATGGTGGTCCTGTCTTCCCCGAGCCCCTGTCCATGTACAAGTCTGGACATCCTGTATAAGGGGTCCCCAGAATCATTTTAGCATAGTACTAGATGACTGGTGTGTAAGGCATATTTTGCGCCTCTCACTCTTATTGCAACCCTCGCTTCCCAGTAGCTGATACATTTAATGATATTATGGTCTTCACACTGAAGCATATCAGAGGGATTGACAGAGTTTGCCCTCTACTGTCACTTGAAATGTCCTCAATTGATGCTCGGCAGCATACAGCAGGTGGCATCCAGACCTCCACCCTGTCCAACTTGTGCATTCGATAAATACCACAGGGTTGCACTGGTTAGACAGCTGGACGACACCGACAGGTGTAGAGATAGTAAGAACTGCCGATGCTGGAGTCAGAGATAACACAGTGTGGAGCTGGAGGAACACAGCAGGCCAGGCAGCATCAGAGAAGCAGGCAAGCTGGCGTTTCAGAAGAAGGGTCCCAACCCGAAACGTCAGCTTTCCTGCTCCTCTGATGCTGCCTGGCCTGCTGACAGGTGTGAGTCCAGCTCCCCAACACTCCCACCTCCCCATGTGTCCATTATCTGGGCACAATCAAATTTCTGGCGCCTTATATAAATACTTTTACTTTCTTTTACTGAAGTATCAAAACAAATATGCCATTAGGATTTGTGCATGCTTTTTCACACCGCATCTCCACCAGTGCCCAGAGCCAAGATACACAGAGTGAAATAAAAAAAAACTATTGGTTACCAGCCGCAGATCTCCGGGAGAGTGGGCCACAACCGATAGGTTTTCCAGCTTCGCCATCCCTAGTCTCTCAGCCTAAACAGGGGCTGCCTTTTAAATTTGTAAAGTTAGATGACAGTTCAAATATGTTTTTATCTCTCTGTTGTCCTTGAAATAAAGCTGACTTGAATTCCCTGCTGCCCACCTCCCTCCCACTTTGTGATTCAAAGTCCACCATTGGGCAACTGCAGGCTATTTACACAATCCATTCTTTGAAGTTGTTAGGTTTTGCAAAATTTTCCCCAAAATTTCGCTGATTTATGATCAACAATTGCATAGTGAGGAAGGCCATGATGTGATGTGCGATTGTGAGTCTGTCCTTGCTGTTCTCATTCTAGTGAGCTATGAATGTCACACTTGGTCATAAAGAAAAAAACATTGCAATATACAGCGTTTATGTGCCAACCCAAAGTACTTCATTGCCGATTTATCAGTAGATTAAAGTATCATCACTTCACTTAGAAATTGTGGCCACTAATTTGCACTCAGCAGGTCCCAGAAACAGAAATAATCTAAATTACCTGATTTTTGTTTTTTTTAGGTATTTTAAGGAAAATATATTGACCAAGACCTCCCAGTCTTCTTTGAATGGTCCCATTGGATTATCTTTGATCTTGTTGGACCACTGAAGAATATTTACAGAGCCTCTGAGAAGAGGAAAATATCAACTGTCTCTAAGTACCATCTTAATGTGGCTTCCTCTTGCCTGAAATTGCAAGAAAAAGCAATTTCATGTAATATTGCATTGCTTCCCGTGATGGTGTACACGAAACAGCCAGATGTAACACATTACACTGCAAGGGTCTTTAATGTTCAACTGATAGGGCAGGTGTTGTCTCAGTTTAAGATATCCTCCAAATGATGACACCTCTGAAAGTGTGACACCCCCTCAGTTCTGTACAGAAAGTAACAATCAAGATTTTGTTCGTCCTGTGGGGATGTGCTCACTTGTTTCCCCTAAAGATACCCTGTTCCCAAATAGTAAAACAAATAATCACTGCCAAGTCAATGTGCCATATCAGCCATATAAGAGCTGTCTCAAGTGACTGAGTTGTGAAGTGTAGGGAACTTTTAAACCTTCCTGACAAATGAAAGGGTTTAATGCACTACTCTGTTTCTGGTTGTCTGTGAATATAATCGGTTGCCTTTTGGTGGAGGATGAGGCTCATTTTGGACTTGATCTACTGGGAATCTGCAAATGATGATCAGTTTTGACTTTTACTTTGTAGTTTACACCTTGTGGGGTGGATTGAAGTGAGGGGAAGATTAAGAACATGGAAGCTACACTGCAAGAGAAACATTCTATATTTACACGAATCCCTATCAATGCATCTGCAGAAGGCCTTCCTTCACATTTGATGCATCAAATAATAATCTGTAGACTGGGTTAATAGAGAAGGTTGGGCAATAAGAATTGACATTGCAGTTTTGGTGAATATTTGGAAAATTGCGCTGGCTCCCAAAGCAGCTTTTCTAGCTCTGCATGTCTGTGGTTGAGAGACCAGCAATTGTTTCTTAGTCCCAGAATGGATAGTGGAACTTTGGTGATAAGATAACTAAAATAAATTTAAAAATTTCTTAGGAAATAAGAAAGCAATTACTCCTTTGTCTTCCACTTCCTTAGATCCTCAAAGCATCTGAAGGGACTGCACTGGGAAGTTCTAAACATTGCAACTTCTATCAAACTTCTTCTGCTGGCATAGCTCAGTGGACAGACATTAATCCAAAAGATTAAAGATTTCTGAAAAAGAGAGGCGTGTTGCTGAAACTTTTGGTCGTCCACACATCAGGACAGCAGCAAGAATTTTAAATTATTAAATTACACCGCTGGAAAAATCAGGTGCCCTTTGGTGGGCAATGGATTCTGATTTGTTACATTGCTGCCATGGAGAATGAGCCAGGTACCCAGAAGTATTTGCTTAAATTCAAAAGGAGCAGGTCGACTCTGATTGGGCACCATAGCCACAGGGAATGCAACAAGGAACAAGCTTTTGTCCAAATTGAAAAAGTCAATGCCTGGACAAAGATATCCAGTTCCCTGGAATTTCTTCTGCAAACCTTCTGTCTCTTCCTGCCTCTCCTTCTTTAAGATGCTCCTTAAAATCTACTTCTTTAGCCAAGTTTGTAGCCTTTCTTCCCTAGTATCATGTGTCAATTTATCATGTGTGAATGATATCATTTTTTTTGTCTGATAACTCTCCAGTTAAGTGCCTTTAGAAGTTTTTTTTACTAAATTGTATAGATACATGTTATTCTTGCTCTGTGATCATTGTCCTCTAGGTGATTAGTTCCATAAAGTAGCTATTGCGTTTTTGTAGTGTTGGGCTCAAAAGTCATATCTTCAAACCAGGTCATTAAGAGTCAATATTTAAGAGTTAAGTGCACACAGCATTCAGCAATTGAAACAAAGTGGTGAAATACAACAAAATAGGCCTGGTGTAAAAAAAACATGCCTGCTTTGGCTGGGAGGTAACTGCATATCCTTGATTGTCTGTGGGAACCATATTTCTATGTAGTTAACACAGGGCCACCTGGAGATGTTTTCAACTTATTTTCTCCACAAAGGAATACCTGGAAAAGTATTGTAAGAATTCAAAAATAGAGATTCAACACATAATCTTAGATTCAGAATGTTATTACTATCAGGAACTGGACTTGCTCCGGTTTATGAGACAGTACCATGGAATCTGAGTCAAGTTCCTGACAGATAAAAGGGAGATTTAATTGTTTGTATATGTAGATATATTATGTAGTTTAAAAAAACAGACTCATTCATTAGTTTGTATATGTCTCGAATAAATATTATGTAGGTTAAGCTAATAAATTTGCTTCTTATTAATTATTCATTATTCATTTTGATCTGACCTCAAAGAACCCATTAGGTACTTTCAGCCTAAACAATACAGAGATCATAGTACTTAAACAGAGTCCAAGTTCTCACTTTTAGAGAGAGCATTATTTGAATTAGCCACACTGCAAAGAACACACATCCACTGTTCAGTAGCTCCTGGTATTTACACAACCAATTCAAAACCCATCAACCTTTAACTAATATATCCATCATTTCTTCCCTCATTTCGTTACAGTTCAGGCAAGGGGCTCTTGCGGTACAGTGGTAGTGTCCCCACCTCTGGGCCAAGAGGCCATAGTTCAAGGCCCACTTATTCCAGAGGTGTGTACGAACATCGTTGAAGAGGTTGCTCAGAAAATATCTAGCTTTCCTTCAAACCATTTTAGAAGATAACAGCCTGGAAGGCAACCAATTAGCTTCAACGTTGTCCAACAATGCAGCATGAAATTGGAGTGAAGATAAAATTGAATCATTTATTGTCACGTCTATTCAATAGAAAATACAGTGAAAAGTGTTACTGTCGCCATGCATAGGTACCATTCTCATTAACTTAAAATAAAACATAAAGAAAGATAACTTAAAGAGAGTCCAACATTTCCTTCTCTGCTGCTCCAGTCCCGTTCCAGGCTACACCAGCCCATGTCACGTTGCCACCAGAGTCCTGCTCCAGGCTACACCAGCCCACACCATGCACAAGTGAGAGTCCTGCTC